CTCCGGGGCCTCCTCTACCTCTCGCTCTGCCTCTAAAGTTTCCGTAACCTGCCCTGGGTAAGTCTCTCTCATACTGCTCTCTTTGCGGACACCCGTTCCTCCAATGCCCTTCTTCCTTGCAGTACGCGCACTGATTCCTACTCAAAGGCTCCCTATTCCATCTACCATCGCCTCTATCTGGGCCCCGCCTATCTACGCCTGCGATCGCTACCGCTAGCATATCTGCCTTTCTACGCATCTTGCGCTCTTCCTCTTTCTTACTTTCTGTTTCCCTATTCATATATACTTTGTCCGCTACCTCCATTAGTTGAGTGATAGACATACCTGCAAACCCTTCTAATTTCTGTAGCTTGCGCTTAATATCTCCGTAAGCTTGGCTGACAAAGGCGGAGTTTACCATTCGGGAATTATCAGCGCCTTCCGGATTAAAGGGGGTATACAAGCGGTATGCCTCCAATAATCGGTCATAAAAGACACTGGGCGCTTCATCACTTTTCTGAATCACCTCAACTGTCTTCGACATGTTGATAGCTTTCTTCCCTCCGGCTTTCATGCCAGCAATTATAGCATCTCTATAGGCTTTAAGTTGAGCCATATCTGCGCCATTTACATTCCAGTCAGGATCGGTGTTAGGGTAATGTGTTGCGGCCCATGCTGCCGGATTGGCTTGATTTAAAGCACGGGCTCTCTCCTCTAGTGCCTTAATGGCCGCTTGGTTAATCCTTGTCCTTTCCTCATTATTGAACAATGTCATTAATAACTGCTGGCAATCAGCCCATGTCGGGTTATGTGTCTGAACTATCGAGGTGAACAGATCGGTCATAGCTTGTGGTTTCACAGTGTACGAGGAATTGTGGGTCTTCCAATTCAAGAGATCGGTAGTCGTGAACGGGACATATACGAAGACTGGGTCAGCATGTGCCATTTGACCTGCGGCATCGATATAGGTTGACCCAGGATTCAGACGAAGAGGCATCTGATAATGTTTTAATTGTTGGGTACCGGTCAGTTGTCGGGTTAGTATGGGGCTACGTGGAGGGGCGTCAGTTAAAGGTTCCGGTCGAGAGGTAATAGGGCATGAGGATGTGGGAACTTGATTTTGGGAAAAGTTAGTGAATAGTATACTCCGAGCCGAGCTAGAAGAAGCTTGACCGGAAGTTTGAAGTGGCGCCAAATCAGGATATTCAGATCTAATGGGGGCTGGTCCTGGTTCCGGAAGGGGAGTTTTAATACGAGGGGGGGTGGATTCTGTACTGGAGGAGGAAGCGGAAGTGGAGGGGGGCAATAGGGGAAGGGGTGCAGAGCTTCCTGCATTCGCGTCACTTCCTCTTAAAGGAAAGTAAGGAGGCGGCAAAGGGATCTCGGACTCAGGGGGCGTGTCCAAAATGGGCCTAACACCAGTCCTAGTGGACAAACAAGTCCTGGCCACCATGAGGCGACATTGCTCCTCGTGGCATATCCGGATCCATTTTGGCGAGTCGTTTACGGCCTGCCCCCAACAATCAATGTATGGAAACTGTCCGTAAAGTTCAGGCCTACCTGACACAGCCACGTGTACACGCTGTACCAGGGTTGGATCCAAACTGCCACGCGGCGGCCATGCCGCAACCAAAATAGGCCACTCCCTAGTGCACAAAGTGACCAAACGTACAGGAGACATTTTAACCCCAAAATCACATGTTTTGAATCCCTTTTTAAAATTCTTTACCATACAACCTAAGGGATCCGAAATCGTTGACTCTGACGCGCCCATACTTATCAATGGAACGTCGTTGACAACGAATACTATGCACGCGTTCTTATTCAATAGTCACACCCGTTTCCTCTGGCAACAGCACCACGTGGTACAGTTACCGAGTGAAACGTACACAATAACACAATAATCACTCAGGGAATTCCCGTACACACACAGCTGTTACACCAGTCACTAAATAATCAATATTATGCCCTTTGGCGAAACTATACAGTCACCCACGCTATAATTCTCTATATATGAATTACCCGTCTATAACACACCCCAGTAACATCGTCTTTTACTAGTATCGGTTACAGTACGGTTAGCATAGGTCAAAGCACAATTTAAGGTCACAATACAATTATTAGTGGTTACGGTGTTAAACATGCAATAGACGACAATGATTAGTACTTATATACAGTGTCAGTAAATATACAGGGTTATGGTACCGTGCACTATGATACAGCAACACACTATTAACACTCTCGCTAGACGGCTGAGCTCGCGCTATCTAACAAGATATACACTTTACTAACAATCTTTAACACATTTACAATCCCAACTAAACTATTGGCCAGTACCTTGAATGGACTACCTAAAACTATATACACCCGTTTTGGTTAGCCACACTGCCCAAACACCACATATAGCGAACTAGAGGGCGAAATTTACAAAATTGCCCTTCTAGTCTATTTACTCTATCAAAAGTCTAGTGGGTTCCAAATTTACACGCCTTCCCACTTAGCCAAGATAGGTTGAGAGCTAGCGAACCGAATTTACACAGGCGCCGCTTAGTCTCCCGGTCCCTCCGACCTAGCGAACGTAATATACACCCTAGAACGCTAGTCTAGACAAGACACCGGTGTCCGGCTAGGGCTATTTACACAGGACCCCGCCTGACTAACCAGATCAAACGGTCTTACTAAAGAGCGTTCGATCGAGCGGTGCGCCTTCGCTCCTTCCCTCCGACAGAGGGGGCAGATTCCATACACAGATTTAAACCCCTTTTGGGCCTACCGCACAATCGGTATACCCCTAGTGGGTCTGCCGTCTAAAACAGCAGTTGTCTTACCTCCTCGCTCCTGAACCTGAGTTCACACTCATCGACGGGGACACCCCAGCACTTCTTACGTAGAGGCCGATGATCTCCTGGACAACAGACCAGTGGCGCCGAGACGAAGGGAGGTCCACGCAGAAGTTCAGGGGTGCAGCCGTAGAGAACGTGGGCAAAGATAGACCGTCTCACGCCTCTGCCTCTCAGCTACCGTTGAACGATGAGCTTCCCGGCCAATGCACCAAATGATACCGGAGAAACTGACGGAAGCAAAGCACAGAGGGATGGACACAGGTTTCTTCAGGAAGGAAGAGATTCTTTATTGGATCACCGATCGGGACTCAGAGGGACTAATGTCACCAAAAAATACAGCAAGTTCTGAGCCCTGAACAATAGTGCAGGCTCCCTATATAGGCACATAACTCCTCCCATATTAAGCTCCACCCGCACATTCTCTTGACCAATCATTACAAATAAGAATTAACTTCCTGCTTGACCGCATGGCTTGTCCAGCACAATGGAGGAGGGGAATACTACATCCTGTATTCTTGCACATGCTCCGTACACTACTGATCGTATCTTGCCTCGTGCAACCAACTGATCGATACGTCAGCATATGCACGTACACATGCCACGTGGTAATCTCGGCCTACTAAATTTATTTTTACCGAGATTCCACCACAGGGCTACAACAGAATTTTTTGGCTCTTTAAAAATAATAATAAGAAGAAGAAGAGTTGGACATACATATAGTTACGTAAGCAAAATCAATTACACACATGCAGCTTACCCAGATATGCCACTGATCTTCTGCAACTGGGAAACAGAACAGAGAACCCACATCAGCGGTCAACTGTTATATCAAAACGGAGAATCTAAAAGTAATTTTTTACTTATTACATATTTTGCATTGCATTTTGCAGGGACCCTAGTCAGGGATGTCACCAGGGTTTCCCTGTTACGACTACAGAAGACAGACGAAGCAGATCAGGTTTTACTGGCAAAAGTTCCCCCGGCAGCTACGGGGAGCCAGCGGGGAGGGGTGGTCACAGCCCTAGGGATCAGGACAACGGCCGCAGCGGGAATGGGTCAAGCAGGGCAAGACTAGAGAGTAAGCAGGTCAGGAATCGGTTACACGACCTACCCACTGTGCTTTTTCGTTCCAGGTCACCAAGACGGTCTGGGTGAGACCTCAGGAAGTGGACCTATGGCTGGAGCCACCGTCACGTCTGGGCTTGGACGTCGGACACTGGGACGCAGCCTTGCAGCCTTCGATGGCCAGAGGTTCGGATGGTTAGTTGTCTTCCCTTAAACAGTCTGGGGATCTTTTCAAGGGTCTCAAATCTTTGCTGGAGTCTTGGAGTGGGGGTTCGGGCAGGAGTGCTGGCTTTGGTCAGTTGTGGGCCCTAGGTCAGGAGTTCACCAAGTTCGTGGTCCATTAGCGTGATGATTTCCTTTGTGTTGGGCTGGCGGGTTTAGAGGGGTGTCGGAAAAAGGCTTAAGGACACTGGAATGGGTGGCTAGTGTGTTCGGAATTCTGCTGCTGAGCGATAAGACGGTTGGGCCTGCTAGCTGCCTGTCCTTCCTGGGTTTGGAGATAGATTTGGTCCAGGGTAAGTGTTGGTTGCCGGACGATAAATTGGTGGCTCTCAGGCCATCAGTGATACAGGTGCGGGAGGCCAAGAAAGTTACCTTGAGGGCCCTTCAGTTGTGGTGGGCCAGCTTAACTTCATGTGTTTGATTATCCCGGTGGGGCGGTATTTAACAGGTTCCTAGCAAAAGCGACCTGTGGGGTCGCTTCCCCCCATCATTTCATACGGGTATCAGCATCCATGAAGGGAAGTTAGAAATATTACAAATATTAAACAGTAGTAGTTCGTGTTATCAGAGGTTGGTCAATGCAATTAGCCATTATAGTACATGCAGACATCAGAATTAGGACTAGGGCGTCAAGAATGCGACCCTGGTCAGTTTAACCCAGGAGAGGTGAGTTGTATAGACAATCTAGTGTTTGCACAACAACTTTTGGGTTTTATTGGAGCACTTAAGGATAGAGGCTTTATTCTGTGTTGGTTGTTGCATAATAACATTCATACTGTTTTTAATATTTTTAATAGCACAATCACTTAAATATACCCAAACATGTACCCAGTGTGTCTTGGTCTGCATGTAATTTTATGCACCTTAAAGAGATATCCGATAAATTTTTTATATATATTTGAATTGAGTTTTAATAGGTATTGTTGTTGTTTATCAGCGCCAGCTTTATCCACTTATTGAAGAGGAGGAAGCTGCGCCCTGCTGACCCCAAGTATGAATTCCAGGTATTGGAGGATATGTCCCTATGGAGGAGTGGTGTGCCCTAAGAGCATAACAGCCCGATATATGGAGTCAATACATATAAGCTCCGCTACATGTGAATGTTCTTATTTTACTTTATGAAATCATTGAAATATTTTTACCATGTTTAGATTCTTGTGTTTTTTTCATGTACTGAATTTTGTACTGTATATACCTGTAATAAACGGGGGTAAGTCATTCCCCTTATCTTTGCACTTTAGCGCCCCACTATAGGTACAAGTGTATCTTGTACAGTTAGAAGTTGTTTATAGTTTTGTGTTGTGTGGGGAAGAGGGTATCCCACCTTACAGTGTAGAGCTGCTATTTTCTATGTGTAAAACACTTTTTTGATATAACACACTTACCTCGAAGAGGAGTTTTGTTTTAGTTACATGAAGCCAAACTACTTACATTGGGTGGGTTCCGGAGGGGGTGGGGGGGAGAGGTTGAGCTATAAGGGTATAAGTGCTTGTAGTGTTCTTAAAAAAACGAATGAAGAAAACTATTAACAAAAATACAAGACTCTTTGCAGGTTGATAGTCATTGTAGACAGAAGACAATCAGCAATTTTGAAAAAAGTCTTGATTCCCACAGGATTGTGTACTCTAATTCAGAATAACCAGCTCAATGTCATCTGTGTAAATAAACAGTAGTAGACCAGTTGCTAAAAATATGTTCTATTTACAAGCAATTATAGCACTAATTCTAGAAGATTCCACTCATTAGAACAAAGCAATCTTCCCAGAATATCTAAAATATGTTATTTATGTAATTGTATTAATAAATAGCTTTTAAAGGAATTAAATGGAATGTGTGGATAAAAATAGCTAATCTTCGTTTGTAACCAGCCACAGACTTGTGGGATAAAGATGCCTTTCACCCAGTTTCATATTTGTGATTATGTCGTAATGGCATGTGTTTTAACTTTACGCTCCCAGTCTCACATAGAATCCAAATTCTGAGCCTTCATCTGATTGCCCAGGGGATGTCTTCATGACCTGGAGTTTTTTAATGAGCGTGACTTCTATAGTGTTTTGAAAACTCGTTTTTTGGACACTAACATAACGTGGAATGAAACAGAGCAGATTGTAGGCACAGGTTGCCCTGAGAATTTTTTTGGACAGTCATACAGTTTGCCACAGAACTGATTGGCTTGTAGACACAAATTGATCTGAGATATGTTGTGGATTTCAACATGGACATGTCAAACTGGATTCTACCATTCAGGGCCGGTGCAAGGATTTTTGGCTACACAGGCGAAGGTGCATTTTGCTACCATCCCTTCCCCCCCCAATAAAAATGCATCTTCACCTGTGTCTCGTAACCCCCTTTTGTATTTCTTACCCCTCCAGTGTATTTTATCCCCGTTTTAGTGTGTCTTACACCCCTCTGTGTGTCTCTTACACCCCCAGTCCCTTTGTGTGACTCTTACTTCCTCCTAGCCCCTTTGTGTGTCTTTCTTTCCCACAGTCCTTTTCTGTGGCTCTCTTCCTTCAGCCTGTTTTGTGTGTGTGTGTGTGTGTGTGTGTCCACCAGAGACCTTTGTGTGTCTTTTTTCTCCCAAGCCATATAGACATAGTTGTATAGCAACACACAAAACAATAATTATCCAGGCACATAGTCACAGTGATATGCAGCCACATAATTAAACAAACACAGTCATACAGGCACAGACATACAAGCACACAATCATACAATCTATACATACAGGTACACTGTCATACAAACAGACAAAGACA